TACGGAAGTAGGATTGCCCAACCTTCCTTCCGAGGAGTGGCTGGTGGGCTTGAACCGCCAGCCGTCTGGTTAGCAGGCAAGTGTCTTAGCCACCATGCTACCAGAGCTCCCCCAGTAATAGTAGTTAGGGCTAAATTATTTTTCTTTCAATCTGAAGGCTACATATTAAATGCTCACTTCCATCTATTTAGCCTGTTGCCCTCTACATATTTTTACAGCACTTTTCTGTATCCTAACTTCTACACTTACATCTAAAATTTAGCATTCCTCTCCTTTATCAAGTCCTCTTAAGTGTTTTCTTTCTTTTTCGCTTCCCTAACCACTTACTGAAATTTTTTTTGGCTATAATTTTAGTCAGCGTCGCTAATAAGCATGACATATACTAGACTACCCTCTTCTCATCAATTACATAAAAACCAATGCAAATAAAAATTCTACTGCAGACTAAATTATCACTTCTGGCTCAATCTTCAGGCTACATAAATATGCAACAGAAATTGAGTTATTTTATGTAAATAATTCAATAGTTGTTGTAGAGTTCTGTTATTGGTAAGGGGCTCTGCTGGTGCACCCATTTAACTGCTTGGCTGCTAACCAAAAGTTTAGCACATTGAACTCATCTGGCAGCTCCACAGAAGAAAGACCAGGTGATCTGATTCTATTAAACTTACAGATAAGAATATACTCTGGAGAAGTTCTACTATGTCACATGGGGTCACTATGAGTAAGAATTGACTTGATGGTACTTACCAACAAAAATTATCATGCTGATTAGATTAGGTGATGCTGCAATAATAAAAAGACCCAATACCACAATGGCTTAACATCAGTTAAGTTTATTTCTCACTACCAAAAAGTGTACCACAAATCCATCAGCTCTCCAGGGGAAATCCTTCAGTGACTCAAAAATCCAGGTTGTATCCAACTTCTAGGTATCCTATTTCAAGCACTCTGCATCCAGGTCATCATGGAAGGTAAGGATAGAGCTGAAGGCTCACGTCAAAATCCAGGTTGTATCCAACTTCTAGGTACCCCATTTCAAGCACTCTGCATCTAGGTCACCATGGAAGGTAAGGACAGAGCTGAAGGCTTACTTCTCACAGCTCCACTACAACTAATCAAAACGCAAACTAACTTACTTCAAGGGCTTGGGAAGTGAATCAGAGAACATAGGTATTCAATGAAGTGTAAGTATCTTTGCTACATTCTACAAATAATATAAGCTTTTTTTTTTTTTACATTTTAAAGAACAAAAATTTTGAAAAACTTTATATGGATACAAAATCTCTCTTAAATTCACTAGTTTTGTCAGTGTATAGATATATTTTTAAGCTAAAGTTGTAAAGCTCCAAGGTGATCTAACATGGCATTACTGTAATATTCCAGAACCATACTGAGAAATTCTGGTATTTCCACTGCAAAAATCTGGGGAGCTAACATGTGATTTATCTACTAGATGTTTTCTATCTTTACAGTTGTATTTGTGATTCAAGGGAGCTGAAATAAAAGCAGCTATTTTTTTAATAAAAATAGCTATTCAGCCCCTTGTTCTGAAAAAATACTTCGTATACACAACATTACAATTAGCATATTCTCTGTAACTTGTTTTTGTTAGATATCACCTTATAATTTTTTACTCTTACATATATAAAAATGTAAAATAAAAATAATGTTTTAACTCTCTTTAACATTTGTGGTAAATGTAAATCAGCAACAGACACAAGGCACCAAATCTTAGTAAAATATGACACAGAAAGATCAATGATGTCATTCTCACCTAAATTTAACTACTTTAGTTCCATATTAATGCTTAAGACAACAAACTTTTAAACAGCATACTCACTAAGATTGTGGCAGTAGTTTTATGTAACAAGAAACAAAGTAATAGTGGTCTGGCACTTAACTTGCTTACAGCATACCAGTTTCAATATGAAGGCATTAAATATTAAAGAAAAAAATAACTGTTTTTACATGCTAAATATTTTGGCAAGTGTGCAATTAAACACCATAATGAAATTAATATAACAAAATAAGAAATTACACACTTTAAACTTGTATCTTAATCATAAATCTTATTTTAAAAGGATTACTGGCTATATAGAATATCCCTGGAAAATATAAAACATGCAAAATATTTCAGAATTTTAATTATCAATAAAAAATACCAGGGTCTATTTAAAGTGACCCCCTCCGAAGGGCATCAAAGTTCATTCAAATCATGTAACGTTCTAATGCTATTATTCGGTACTGTTGAAGTAGAGGTAAATTTCATAAATTTGAGAGCTTACTCATGCTGCAAACTGCTTTCCTATTCACTTGAAGCAGCACACAACATTTCAAAATTTCATTAAGTGAGTAAAGAATGGCTGCTGCATTGGCAAAAATAGGGTTGTTTAAGGATCAAAGGCACACTTTTCAGCTAGCCAAGTGATAGCAAACCCTCTCCCATCCAAGCCCTTTCCCCATGTAAACGAAAGGTGTAGTAAAGAAAAAAAATAAACTTAGCTATAAAAGTTAAGATTTTGAGACATTAATGTTAAGTCCTTGCTTCAAATATGTCAACTATAGTCATCAGCTTATTTCAGATATTTTAAACATATATCCAAATTAGATATTTAAAATTAGATGTATTTTTTGGTCAAAAATATTCATTATCTAATAGTTTTACTTTAATTCCAAACAGAGTTTTAGCTCCCAGAATTATTAACCAATGGAAAGAAAAACAAACAAACAAACAAACCCCTATGCTACAGGCAACAATTATGGCCTTTTCTGGCAGGGAGACACTGACTGACTACTTAAAGGCCAGTAGTAATTCTACTAACACAGGAAAACTCATGCATTTTGGTAAATATGCTGCAACTTTCATAGATCTTGCGTTTCTAACTAAGGAAACCTGGCTTTTCTTCCTTGATATTATCCTGACTTGTGACTTGAACTAGAATTTTTCTTCTTCTTTTTCTGCTTCTTACTATGTTTCTTGTGCCATTTCTTCTTCTTTGCTTTTTCCACAGCTTTTTCTCGCTCTTCACATCTTTTCTTCTTTTTTGCTTTTACCTCCTCTTCATAATCTGATTCTGATGAAGACTCAAATGATAAAGGTTTACCCTCAGAATGAATCTTCCTTTTTTTGCTAATATGCTTTTCTTTCTCTGCTTCATCCTTTGATTTCCTTTTCCTTTTTAAGGATTCCTTGCTCTCTGATTCAGATGCAGAGCTATCTGAGGATCTGTATGAATGAGACTTCTTTTTCTTTCTCTTTTTCCTTTGTTTCTTATCCTCACTCGATGAATCTGAAGAGCTGCTGGAAGAATCAGAGCTTGATGATGAAGATAAAGATCGAATAGATTTCTTCTTTTTCTTTCTTTCTTTTCTTTTAGATGAGCTCGCGCTTCCACTTAATGATTTCTCTCTGATTGTTTTTAGCTCTTTATTCCAATTCTCATTCATTCTTGCTTCATATTCAGCTAATGTCTTAGAGCCTTTCTTTAGACTTTCTAATCTTCTTTTTATTTCTTCCCAGGTAGGTCTTGGCCGATTCAGATAATCTTGTATTGTTGGCCCCAGGGACTGAGACTGACTTCTCCATTTGGACATGGCTACAGGATTCATATAGGTCGCTTGATTCCCTATAGTTGTCTTATGCTTGCCAGAAGAGATTCGGAGTCACTGAGGAGAACAAGAATAGACATTCTCCTTAAGTTTCTGATCAACCAATATGCCAAGCAGGCTCTACTCTGTAAGAGAAACAGATGGGATAATTACAAAACTCTTTTAATACAAGGCAAAATAAACACATCAACTTACCGATTCACTGCCTATCACATAGTAAAGTATAACTTTGCAAAATTTTATACCTTGGGAACAAACAATATAGACATTTAAGATGTCTGCATAGTTTAGACACTGTATGAACATAAGCTTAGTATTTTCCATACTTCATGTAACGTTCTTACAGTTATCTAAAATTTTAACGTTTCCTTTTTATACTGTATGATAATTACCCTTTTCTTTCATTCTTGCCTTGTACAGTATAATCAAATTTCTATAGCTACAATCTGTTCTAGGCAGCCTTTCTCTATCTCAGGAACTGCAGCACAATCCATTCCACTCCTATCACAGAAATCTAAGTGTTGTACCTGTCAATCCTTCTTCAACTCACACATCCAATGAACATCACTACATCTTGCAGATTAAACTTCCCTAATAGGGATAAAAGGAGCTCTGGTAGCGTGCTGCCTAAGGTATTTGACTGCTAACCAGAAGGCTGGTGGTTTAAACCCACCAGCCACCTCTCAGAAGAAGATTGGGCAATCTACTTCCATAGTGATACCGTGTCAGAATCCCAAGGATGGGTCGCTATGAGCCGGATCTGACTCGATGGCAATAAGTTGTTGTTTTTGTTGTAATAGGGATCAGATACATTTATATTTTGAGTTGAAAATCCTATTCAAAATAGTTGAAATCTCTCTGAAACTGATCTGTGGCACTCAAATTCTTTTGCAAAGGTCTGAGCTTTCGTACTAGGCTGCTGTAAAAAGAAGTTTTATGTTTTTTGTTCACACTAGTTAATTTAAGTATCCTACTATTGAAAAGCTACTTTAAAGGATTCAAGATAGCAATCCATGTACCAAATTATAAAATAATATTCTGCACATATATATTAACGATACTGCTAATTATCACACTATATTTTGCTGTTTTACATTACATGGTGGTGTAGAGAAGTGATGTGCCACCATCTAATTCACAGGACAAATAAGAGATAAAGAGCATTTATGTAGAAGCTAATGATACTCAGCAATTACCTGAAGATATCTAGCTCTAGCAAGTGTTTGCAGGATGGTGTCCTTACTGCTAAATAAAACTCAAGCATGAATACATCCTATTTTAGTTGTTAACATAACTCTTCTGAGGGAGAAATTATTGCTCTTAACTGGGTTCAGCAAGACCAAAAACTGTGCTATGTTGAAACAATTCTCCTCATTTGAATTCATACTAGCATAGTTGTATCATGAAGCATTTGTCATTCTAGTGAAAAGGTGTAGAATTTAAAATAATGCCTCCTCTTCTTTCTTCTACAGAACTGTCAGATATCAAGGGATCAGTCTCTACTACTAGAAGATGATACCAGGAAGCTTAAAAGAGCAACAAAATATTGTAGATACAAGTGATAAAACAGGAAAAGAATGAGTATTAGAAGGTAGATGCTCTAAGTATAAACTATAGCCAGCTGGCTTTTTTTTTTTAAAGCACTTTATTTTCTTATTTATCTTAATATACTAATATGCTTTCAATTTTATATTCAGGAAAACAAACAAATCTTCTTTATATTTTATACTTTAAAAAAAAAAAAACCTGCCATCAAGTCACGTCCAACTCACTACAACCCGCATTGGTTTTCCAAGGCTGTGTATCTTTCTGGACGCAAACTTCCTCATCTTTCTTCCACAGAGCAGCTAGTGGGTTCGAATCACTGACATTTTGGTTAGCAGCTAAATGCTTTAACCTCTACACCACCAGAACTTATCTTTTATGCTAATGAAGTGAAATTTTTTTTAGCAAACTTTTAACTTTAGAATAGTTGCAAAGTTAGTACAGATAATTCCTGTGTAGCCTGCATCTGTTTCCCTTATTGTTAATAAATTATATTAATATGGTATATTGCCGAAGTAGTGAACCAATGCTGATAAATTTTGGTTAACTAAACATTATTTAATTCTGATTTCCTTAGTTTTTACTTAATGTCCTTTTTCTGCCTCAGGAACTCATCCAGAATAATTACATTAAGCCATCATATCACCCAGGCTCCTCTAGACTGTGGTATTTTATCAGAATTTCCTTGTTTTTGATGACCTTTATTTTGAGGTGTAGCAATCAGGTATTTTGTAGAGTGTCCTTCAATTTGGGTTTATCTGATATTTTTTCTCATAGTTACAAGTAGGTTCTAGGTTCTTGAGAGGAAGACCACAGAAGTAATGTGCCATTATAATCATATTATATTACAACCCTCACCGTTAAGTCAATTCTAATTCACAACAACCCTACAGGTCAAAGCAGAACTGCCCTATAGGATTCCCAAGGCTATAAAACAAGACTTCCACATCTTTATCTCACATATATCAAATCAAAACCAAACCAACTGTGATCAGTCAATTCCGACTCCTAACGATCCTATAGGACCCAGTAGATCTGCCCCATAGGGTTTCCAAGGTTGTAAATCTTTACAAAAGCAGACTGCCCCATCTTTCTCCTGCAGAGCAGTTGGTTTGAACTTTCAACCTTTTAGTTAGCTGCTGAATGCCTTAACCACTGAACCATTAGAGTTCCTTATATCATATCAAAAGGTACTATCAACATGACTAATCACTGATAATGTTAACCTTCATCGTTTGGCTGAGGCAGTGTCTGTCAGGTTTCTCCACTGTAAGATTACTCTTTTCCTCTATTTTCATACTGTATTTTTTGGAAGTCGTTATGGGCAGCCCACACTTAAGAAATGAGGAATTATGCTCCACCTCCTTGAGGGAAGAGTACTTAAATTTTCTGGAATTCTTCTGTACAAGATATTTGTCTAGTCTTCCCCCATTTATATATTTACTTAATCTTTTATATCAATAGGGATTGATAAGCATTTATTTTATACTTTGGGTAATAGTCCAGTATTACTTTATTAATTCTGTTGCTTAAAGTGCTCTAGCTTTGATCATTGGGAGCTCTTTCAGCTGGCTCCTACGCCCCTTTGATATATGCCTATCATTTTCTTTTTGAAGCACTTCCTTTCTTTCTGGCTCTACAAGATGTCCCAGACTCATATTGTGTATTCCTTGCCTCAGCCCTTTAACAGGGCACTCTGGTGGTGCTGTGGTTATGATGATGGGCTTCTAACCAGAAGGCTGGTGGTTTGAATTCACTAGCTGCTCCACAGGAGAAAGATAAGTCAAGTCTACTTTTGTAAAGGTTTACATCCCGGGAAATGCTATGGTGATTGCTGAATCAAAACTGACTCGATGGCAGTAGATTTTGTGTTTTCAGCCCTATAAAAAGTCATTTCTCTAAAGAGCCTTGATTTCTTTATTTTAGAATGGTATCAGAAACCAGTATCTGGGTGATGGGTATGCTCATGGTTACTGGGTATCATTGCTTCTAGGCTCTCAGTGGAGAGAGTTAGGTAATGCTTTAAATTCATTCAGTTACATATTGTTTAATTGATGTGCCTAGATCTAGGAATCCCTGGTAGCGTAGTGCCTAAGGCACTTGAGTGCTAACCAGAAAGCTGGCGGTTCAAACCCACCAACCACTCCTCGGAAGGAAGATAGGACAATCTATTTCCATAGTGATACTACCTTGGAAACCCAAGGAGGGGTCGCTATGAGTTGGGTCTGACTCGACGGCACATAAAAACAACAACAGATCTAAGAATATAAATATGAATTATTTAGAAACGGTATGTAGAACATTGTGTTGACCATAATGTGACATCTACGTGACTTGAGTGACCTCTATCAGTAAGGTCCATGTTACAGTTATTTCTCTAATAGTAGAATGGATCTTTCCTGAGTATATTTCTGAGATAGTTTGAAAAGGCTTGGATTATAGTCTGAAGAAAAGAACAAAGGCCCACAGAGGAACTACATTTGCAAGCGTGGCTCTTTTTAGCACTTTGCTCTAGCCAAGAAACCATAAACAATATAAATAATATTGTTCATGGCACCATTTGCCAATAAGGTACTTATCTGTCAGTGCATTTGATCTGTTTTGGGACCCTCACTAGCAGCTTTCTGGAATCTTCCTTGAAAACAGATTATTTCCTAAAATGTTGCACTTAGATATGATAGACCATGATTGTACATAATGCAACCAAAATGTCTTAGAGCCCTGAAAATTCCAGTCCCTCTATTCAGGGAGTCATCTTACATGAACCTAAGTTAAATGAATACTAGTTTATTTCCATCTGTCTGAAAAAAAAACTACTCCCATAAAATATACCACTAAGAAATAAGGTTTGCCACATTATCCTCTTCCCATTGTTCCAGTTTCTATTTAACAAATGTCTCATAGTATGAATTTTGTAGCAATCCTTGGCAATATTCTTCAGGTAATAAAGCTTGTTAAGTTTAGCAGTTTTAAGTTTAGCAGTAAACATCTAAAGTCAATTTCATTCACATTTTACCTGTGTGCAAATGGAATAAAACCAAAAAACTGAACTCACTGCCATCAAGTCAATTCCTATTCATAGTGAACCCCATCAGGTTTCCAAAGCTATAAATCTTTACAGAGCCAGAATGCCTCATCTTTCTTCCATAGAGCAACTGGTGGGTTCAAACCACAGATCTTTTGGTTAGCAGCCAAATGCCTTAACCACTACACCAGAGCTCCTTGTGCAAATGGAGTATCATTCATATGTTAGTTTCAAAGTGAGCTACTACTGCACTTTCCATTTATTCCTTATAATTTTATCTGTGGCAAACTAAAGTGTTCTACTTTATAGTACAGGATAAGATGCCCCTTGAGGCAACCCACAGTGCATCCAAACTGATTTGTAGTCTAACATCTATCAACTTTTCCCTAGGACCTAGTTGTACCAGGATACACATGTCATCTTTTCGAAA